AGGCTATTAAATTTGTCAAGAATTATGGCAAATAAAGTTGGTTGTAGCAAAATAAACATGAATATAGTCAATATACAAAAGCTTAAGCCTTTTGTACCTACCTACTCCGCTGTCTCCAATCAGAACGACTTTAAATAAGTACGTATATGTTTCTTCCTCAGCTTTGGACATAATGATACAGTGAACACCTCTAACTTCGAGCTGATAAGCTCTTTAATTTTTTCACGTTACTCTGAGCCAAGTATTATATCTCGAAACGAATGTACCGACAAATAGTTTAATATATTGTGTGTTTCTTCTCGACTAATAAACGCCTGTCTGTCGTTCGCTTGAATACATAGACGTAACAGACGTAGCAACAATTTGAATATATCTCATTTGAATATTCAAATTAGAAATAGAAAAACAGTCATCAGGGATGATTTGTATTCACTATTCGGAAGTGATTAAGCTGTGGAATTAAAATGCAACATGAAAATTCAGAAAAGAACAGATCGAGACTAAATTTGAATAATATTTAAGAGGAAGAAGGGAATTTTCTAAGATAAAATATGGTCAAAATACAATGAAAATACAATCGCAAGATATATATCGAAGTTTTAAGATCGCAGCCAGAGATTTTCAATAATTCTGAATCTGGTTGTTAAGATGGCCGCTGATATTAGTTGATATTCATACTCGAAGCTTCAACAAGTGCAGTAGGTCGTAGGAATACGGCTTCAACAAGTAGTTGTTCATACCCAATTGGATTGATAACTTGCATGCATGGCTTCCTATATATTGTTCCAACTAAATATTGTAACGAGCTATACAGGGTGAGGGTGTCCCAAAAACCCGAAAACTATTGAAATCACCAATGACAATTTAATTGTTAGAATTTGAATGCCACATGTAAACCAAATATCAAACATGTTTGATATTTTTCGTCATTTGTGTCAAAAAAATTCTCGTGTGCGGCAAGCAAACGACAAGCGCGCCTGAATAGGAAAATTTGCGCACGCGTGCAACTTGCAGAATTAAAGACAACATGGCGGATCAAAATCACGAGCTCGTTTCTTGTTTTTAATTTTGCTCGCCGCACACGAGAATTTTTTTGTCACGAATGACGAAAAATATCAAACATGTTTGATATTTGGTTTATATGTCACAAATGACGAAAATGCCGTAAATATTGCCCGCACACGAGGAAATTTTGTCGATCCAACTTGTCACGAATAATAAGTACGCGCGACAAGTGCTCCTCGTGTGCGGCGGGCTTTAGCACTCTGTTGCTTCCCACGAGTGCATAAATGATTGACATAAGTAAATTTGATCGGCTTAAAGAAACTACTTAAGAAGCTGCTTTAAATTCCCAAGAGCAGAAAATCGCGCACTTTACAAGGAGATTTTCTTAACTAAATTTTAATACATGCACCTTGTCAATATTTTACGCATCATTACGTTCAGCTTTTTGGTAGGGCATTAAATTTTAACAATAAGTGATTTCAGTAGTTTTCGTTTTTTGGGGGGACACCCTGTACAGGGTGTCCCCAAAAAAGTGACACTATAGAAATTATCCTATTGTTATAATTTGAATGCCGGAGCACTATGCTGAACACAAGAGTGCGTAAAAACAATTGAATTGAATTGTTAATTACCAGGCGCACGAAATCCTGTGCTTGGATAATTTCTGCAGTGTCACTTTTTTTGTCCCCAAAAAAGTGACACTATAGAAATTATCCTGTTGTTATAATTTGAATGCCCTAGCACTAAGTTGATCCCACAGGTGTATGGTGGCCCAGGCGTGCCATAGAAAATTTTGATATCTTTTTATTTTTTTTAATATATATTTTTTTAAATTTTTTTTTTTATTTTTTTCCAAACAAAATTTATTTCTAAACTCTGGTTTTTTTTTAATTCATAAAGTATTTTAATGCAAAATATTTTATACCTTTGGCCCAGGTGTGCCATTAAAAAAAAAAAAAAAAAGCGTCGTGGCCCAGGCGTGCCAACGGCCCATGCATGCCAATTACTGCTGTCCATATAATTTTGAGATCGCAGGCT